GAGAGAGAGAGAGAGAGAGAGAGAGAGAGACAGGGGCAGAGACAGAACAGAAACAGGGAATTATTATCAAGGATTGATGGAAGATTTTTGTCTTACAAGGAGTATTGATATGGACTCGAGATCTTGTTTCTACTTTGGAAATAGAAGAGCCCTATCTACTTCTCATTTCCTTCTTGTGTGTTTATGATATTGTATTATCAATGCCATTTGGAGCAGAGAATGTCAGTTTGGCAAATTCCAGGACTTAATAGTACTTTTAACATTAGAAATATTTATGAAGCTTTTGTTTTTGCTTTTGCAGTGCTGGGGGTTAAACTAATAAACTTAAAAAGTATAGGATAAGTCCTCTATCACTGAACTGTACCCTCCTTATATTTTATGTATGTATGTATGGTGTATGCATTCTTTTATTTATTTTTGGAGACAAGCTCTTACTAAATTCTGCAGACTGGCTTTGACTCCAATCCCACCATCTGAACCTCCCAAGTAGCTGTGATCATAGATGTGTGCCTCTGCAGCCAACATGAAATATACTTTTAGGTAATTGCAGTGAGCATGGAAAGTCATACAAGTAACGTCTCTGAATTTGTGTTAACAAAGGTTAAAAAAGCACAAATCTCTCTAGCAGTAGCAATTGACAGTCACCTAATTAATGTTTTATACATCGCATGAAATGACTAGCTCCTGAGATAGGTAAAATATTAGGATAATTATTTAAATGTGCTAAATTGAAACTGATCCAAGTTGTTCTCATCACAGATGCAATCTAGGTAAAGACATAATCTTATTTTCTAATATGGAATACAACATTACAAAATTATGAAGTAAGGTCAAATTATTATTTTTAAAGAAAGGAGAGTGCTCACTTCAGTTAGAACATGTACTACAATGGAATGACAGAGAAGTTAGCATGACCCCTGTGGAAGGATGATACGAAAAGTGTAAAAGGCATTCCATAATTTTGTAGTTCTGTTTCATTAAGAATGTTTGTTAAATAAATAGAGTTTTACTCTTCTTGTCACCCTGAAAAGGAACAATCTTAGTTAATACATGTCTTAATCACTGCAGAATTGTTATGGTTCAACAACCCTGTGTTCAGAGGAGGGACTTCTGAAGGGATCATAGGGGGTTCTAGACTCCTCAGCAAATGAATCCACTGATGATTTCATAGCTGCATGAGCAGCTAGGAGGTGGTACCAGTTGGAGGAAGTGGATCATTGGGGTATGCTTCTGGGGTATGTCTCTCCTGCATCTTCTGCCCTTTCTAGCCTTCCTACCACATTGAGGTGAAAACCTTCTTTTTGCCATGTCCTTGTTTCATGCCATTTTTCCCTTAGAGACAGATGTCCAAGGACAGAAGCCTCTGAAATTATGAGCCAAAATAAATCTCTCCTCCTTTCAAGTTGGAGGTGTCAGGTAATTTGTTCCAGTGACAAAAATGTGGCTAATGTACAGTGACTAATTTACTGTCCACCTGTATCTTATACCATCACTGTGTGAACCTCAAGTCTACAATGTCCACAATGAATGTATGCCCACCACCCCCCGCAAAAGAGAACCGATTATAATGTTGGTCCTTTTAGAAAATCATGGTACATTTCCATCTTCTTATGGTAGGTTAGGTGCATAATGATACATAATTTGACTTCACGTAGTGTAGAATTCACATTGGCTTTCCAGAGGAACATAGCAGTTTGAAACTGACTGAAAGAGGATGTGAAGAGAAATGAATTCCTTGATCCTGTGTTCCACATCCAAATGAAGAGTCAGTCATTCTGCTGACTGGAGGGTGGTGTAAATTTTGCATTTTCATGTAGATCTTAGTGTAGCTTCAAGTGGTAGGCATTCAGACCACAAAGAAAATGAAGAAAAAAACGAGACTGCCATTGAATTGTTGGTGTTCATAGCAACACCTGGCACACTTCACTTCTCAGGCACACGTGGACTATAATTTAATTTCTATGGATGGAATTGAAATCCTTTGAGGAAATCTTGTAGTAATTAAATGATTCTGCTACACCCAGAAAACTTTTTGTTTTTGAATTTGAAGAAATGTACTTCTTTTTACCCATCTTCTGTCTTCATGCTCCCTTCCAATTTCAATGTGTTCTTGTGAGGAGTAGAAATAAGTGCTATAATTAAAAGCATCTCTGATAACACTGTACTTCAGGGAATTCACTTTTGCTGTGCATCTTCTCTGAGACAGAAAACACATAACAGATGGCATGTTTAATGCTAATCTACTTATTATTCACCACCCAGTGTTACAGGAAAACTTCACATAGCAAATAATTATGGACTGGTTTAATGATCACACTATCTTGATACTTATTTTAGCCCACTCATTTAATGCAACTGACTTACCAGCGACAATGGAGTTTTGTTTTTTTTTTTTGGTTTGATTTGCTTCACAAACTTTGTTCTGAAAATCTAAACAATTTTCTAGATATAATCTCTTCGCAATGTTTTGCTCTCTTCAGATAAAAAAAAAAATACACTTTTGTTGCTTATATATGCCACAACTGTGAAGTGTCACTTGTTCTATTGCAAAGTTTAATAACTGACAGCATTTGAACAACAGAAATAGAGTTAAATGTAAGAATTAGAGGTGCATAGATTTAGAAATGTCCATGGAAGTGAGGTTTGAAGGCGCTGCAGCATGCAGGTAAGAGTTATTAACCACCGCTGTCTTCAGAACTACTGTTATGTTCAGTTATAATGAAGAAAATTTCTACCCCTAATCCAGATATGTTGTTTTGTTTTAATTGTTCTCACATACTTGGAATATTAGTTTAAATGCACAGGAGAATAATTGTCAAAATTAACATGAGAATTATGGAGTTTTTCTTAGTTGTATTAATAGCCTGATAATTATGTCTGACATGAGAAGCACTCATTTAACATGGGCATTTTCATGGTCTTACTATATTTGTGGAGTTGTACAATCATTACCATTATCAATTTTAGAACCCTTTTATCACCGAGAAATACATCTATACCCATTAATAAACAATTTTCACCTCTACCACTACTCTGTATGACTTAGTATTATACAATATTTTGTACACAATACAAAGTACAATAACCTTTTCCACACAAGCATTATGGCAATAAATGACATATACTTATTTTACAAGCATTTATTGAATATTTCCCAAGTGCCAGACAAAATGATAAGTAGTAATGATAGACAGCTAAATCGAACACTGGATCCTGTGATTTAGTTAGAAAGTAGTCTCATAAGAAATGCAGCTATTTATGTCAATAATTCTTAGAAAAATGAGAAAAATATTTTAGCTAAGACATTTGAAAGTGATACATAAAAGCACTTTTGATTAAATTTACCAAGGGCAAGAGAAATATAAAGTTTAGATGCCAATCCTGTAAGAAACTATTTATTAACCTTTAATGACAATATTTATGTAAATGCACTGCCACAGTTGATAACAGGCTTGAATCCATAATCTTTAGAGATGTATAAATTTTGACCCTAGAAACTTGAGAGATCAAAGATACATTTTGAAAAGTTCTTTGAACATCCTTAAATATAGTTTTTTCTGACTTAAACTTAATTTTGGCTCTGGAAATGCTACATGGACTTTTGAAATTATCTCTGGTGTCAGCTCATTTATGTTCCAGTGAGAGCTCTTATATTAAGAAGAGGCTCACATATTAAGATTATTTTTTCTACTTAGTACTTGAGAACACAGTTCATCTGATAGTCTGAAAAATGAATGCTGCCTTTGTCACTTTCCTGTCTTCTTACCTTTGCACTTCTTTGTTCTCAAATATTTGAGAGCTTTCAATATACCAAGCACTGTTTGCTTATTCAGTTAGACAGTCAAGCTACTTCAAACCCTTTTTATGAGTTAAGCATAAAGAAATGAGTACAATAGAAGTGACTTTGTGCCCATCTTTACCAAGTTTATTCTTGTGAAAATGATTTTGACTAATCACTTTCTCTCATTCCTTTCCATCACAGTATGACGTCAAATATCCGAGTTCATAGAAGAATTATTTCTACAGATAATCAATTTTCCACCATGAAGTGCATTTCTCATAACAGTCATTTTCCCATTCATGCCTTTGACCTTCAAAAAACTAATATAGCAGTATTTTGTCTGGTGGTGATTTAACATTGCTTGTCCCTATAGTAAAATTTTTTCCTGCTTAAAGTATACCATGTTGGATGCTGATATAGTTTTGTATATTTATAGAAAGTCATTTTATGGAGTAGATTTTATGATCTCCATTACGGAACACTTATTTTGACTTATATATTTATATTTTAGTTGTACTTAATGAGTACTGCTGAATAAAGCTAATAGCACCATCAATTTCAATGGAAAGAGTTTCCTATTTATTATGAATGCCAAAACTACAGACAAAGCAATTAAGGAACCACGTACCTGTAGAATGGAGGGGTTTCCATTAACTATTCTCTTTTTATGGTTATTTTAAAAATGGGAGAAAGTTTATCCTAGTACTCTCAGCCCATACTATTCGAACACTAAATCTCCTTTATCTACTGTGCTTGGAAAACAGAAGTTCTTATTGAATGTCTGAAGGGGAGGGGTCAGTGGTTGAACTATGTTTCCTTGCCTTGCAAAGGTAGAAAAATAGCATTCAAATCTATAAGATTAAAAAAGCAAATAGAAGACTTGGGTAGACATGAGATGTGATAACAGTTCACAAGAACAATGTAATCTCCGTTGTTTTCCTCAATGCTTATTGAATCGATTATATTACTTCATATTTTGAGTCCATATGTTAACAATTGTTTTAGCATTATTTAAGTAACAAATTCAGGAAATAGTAGGTTAAAGGATCATTTAAAGACAAAATTTGCTTTTTTTCTACTCAACTCATGAACTGTTGGAGATATCAGTATAGTTTCTAGCTTTTGATATTGGATTTTTTTTTCTTGTAAAATATGTTACTCAGTACTTGAAGCACTTGATAGCACTGTTTGGAAAGTTGCTAACCTAAGCAAACTTTCCACATTGGCTGGTCAGTAGACATATTGAATTTTTATCCTGGCTCTACAGCAGGCACATTGCAAGTATTTTCTCTCAACTACATCGTGGAGCGAAGAGTTATCACCCTAACCTTAAAGATGGGATAAAAACAGCAAAACACTGCACTTTATAAAACTTAAATTATTTATCCTAAATCAAACAACAAGCATCAGATCCAAAATTAGCTTCAATGTTGAAAAGTCTCACTAATCTGCATTCTCCCTGAATAGCTAAGCTCTACCTTCACATAGGAAAACAATGTAAGCTTTGGTGGTATGACATTCTAAAATTTGTCTAAAAGAACATTTTCTAGTTTACAGATATTTTAGTAATATTTGTTGGTTTATTTGGTTCAATTATCTTTATGGATCATATTAAATATATTAAGAAAATATTTAACATGCCAAACTTTCAGATTATCTTTAAGTCTTGATAGATTGGTAGTACATACTTCACAGAGACAGATATTAATTTTCATCTCAACTTAAGCATTCATTATAATAAAAGCAAAACAACAGAAATTAGTCTGTGATCAGTTTTTCTACCTTTCCCTTGACATCAGCACTTTAAAAAATAATAAATATTGGAAGTTTCTCAGCTGATCTTACAGTTCTATGTCCTATTTTTCAACTTTTCAAGCATCTGTCACTTTCTAGGTTTTAGCCAAGTTTGCTGAGCACCAGAATCTTCCATCAACAAAGTGCTAAAATCTGTAACTCTGAAAACCCTCTTTTAACCAATAATTAATGATCTTCAGCTGAAGTAGAACTGCAAAACTTAAGAAAATATGAAAGCAGTCCCCTATCAATAAAACCAGCAGCTTGTATTTCAATTTTTTGGAGGATTCAAAAGTAATAGAAATATCAATATGAGCTGTACTTCCTATGCAGTTTATTTAGAACTACAAACTAGGGACAATGAAGTTTTTTAAATAGGTGTCAGAAT